GTTCTTTTGCGACTTTTTCCGCCATCTTTAGTTTTCTTGAGCTAAAGTTCTATACTTTGTCTTTCAGGTTGGCATTATAGACAGCTTCGGCCAGTTGGTTGATCCTGAAGGTGTAAAGCAAGAATTAAGTTACATGAAGTCATTAAATGTCGATGGAGTGGTAATAGATTGTTGGTGGGGAATAGTCGAAGGCTGGAATCCTCAGAAGTATGTATGGTCTGGCTATAGGGAGCTATTTAACCTTATCAGAAATTTCAAACTTAAGCTACAGGTGTGAAATTACTTACTTGTAGAGGTTTTTCAAATACATCCTATGTGACCAAACTGAAACTATTGCAATAAGGAACGTCTTTTTTCGTAGTATCTTAGCATTTAGTATATTATTTGAAGGTGGTGATGGCATTTCATGAGTATGGAGGGAATGCATCTGGAAATGTCATGATCTCGTTACCACAGTGGGTTTTGGAGATTGGAAAAGACAATCCAGACATATTTTTCACTGATCGTGAAGGGAGAAGGAGTTTCGAGTGTTTAAATTGGAGCATTGACAAGGAACGGGTCTTACATGGAAGAACTGGTATAGAGGTACTTAAAAAGAACATTCATTTCTCATAAACTGCTATGCATTTTGGTGTACTGTGTACATCTCATCCTCTTTGTACTGGTTAGGTCTATTTTGATTTTATGAGAAGCTTCCGATCAGAGTTCGATGACTTGTTTGTGGAGGGGCTAATTGCTGCAATTGAGATTGGTTTTGGAGCTTCTGGTGAACTAAAGTACCCATCTTTCCCAGAAAGGATGGGTTGGATTTATCCCGGTATTGGTGAGTTTCAGGTATCTTTCAGATCGCTGAACCTTAAGTCCTAGTTCTAACTTGTGACTACTGAAGTCTGCGCATGGTCAAATAATTTCACTTTACTGTTTTTCCTATTGCAGTGTTATGACAAATATTCGCAAACGAATCTGCTAAAGGAAGCAAAATCACGGGGATTCGCTTTCTGGGGTAAAGGACCAGAGAATGCTGGTCAATATAATTCTCAACCTCATGAAACTGGTTTCTTCCAAGAAAGAGGTGAATATAACAGCTACTACGGTCGCTTCTTTTTGAACTGGTATTCACAGTTGCTAATAGGACATGCCGAGAACGTTCTGTCTCTTGCAAATCTCGCTTTTGAGGAGACAAAGATTATTGTCAAGGTATAGTCTTTGTGGCACTTTATCCTTGCGAAACTAGTGATGGCCATAACAATGAGACTCATACCAAAAAAAAATGCAGATACCGGCGATTTACTGGTCTTATAAGACAGCAAGTCATGCTGCTGAATTAACTGCAGGATACTATAACCCTTCGAACCGTGATGGGTACTCTCTTATTTTCGAAACACTGAAGAAATATTCAGTAACAGTGAAGTTTGTGTGCCCTGGGCCACAGATGTCTTCTAATGAACACGAAGAAGCATTAGCTGATCCAGAAGGTTTGAGTTGGCAGGTAATGGCATTTTTTTATTGTTGATTTGGCTTTCTTGTTTCTCCGCAAATGTTTTTTTAACCCTAAGCTTGGTTATTTGTGGCAGGTGATTAATGCAGCTTGGGATAAGGAACTTCTTATTGGCGGTGAGAATGCGATTACTTGTTTCGATAGAGAAGGTTGTATGAAATTAATCGAAATGGCTAAACCGAGAAACCATCCAGATAGCTACCACTTCTCCTTTTTCACTTATCGCCAACCTTCTCCTCTGGTTCAAGGATCTACTTGCTTTGCAGATTTGGACTACTTTATAAAACGCATGCACGGTGAGATTTACCTGCACGTATACACGCTCAATTGTGCCTGGCCTAGCTGCATTGTAAAGTCTTTGTTCTTACAACTCTTTTTGTTTCTTTGCAGGAGACATACAGAGGTGAACAAGTGTTTGGAACACAAAACAGAACAAATAGAACTTGCAGGGGCACCTTGGTGCGTTCCGACCGGATAACCGATAGGGTTTATCAAAAATAAAAATAAAAAACTTGCAGGGTTTTAGGGTTCTTTAATTTAGATTCTTTTGTTTAGAACTCTAAAATCTGTTGTTTTGTTATTCTCACTTCTCAGGGCTTAAATTTTAAAAGATTGATCTTTATTTGTAAACCCCCTAACACCCTACTTGATGATGAAATAAAAATAAACAGCCTCAAATTGAACCATAGATCACTAATAATCGATTCAGATTAATGATGTCCTCTTTCTTGCCTTTTCGTTTTTTCAAGAACACAAGAAAAGCGCTCTTTGTTCAGTTTGGTTAAACGTGGGCCTCTGAAACCCAATATGTATTTTTAAAATTCAAAAAAATGAACCGATATATTGCATAAATGTCTATAAATTGGTATTGACAGCATTACAATGGTATTAAACTCTGGTAAGACTGACAAAAAAAAACTCTACCAAATCAAAAGAAGAAAAGAAAAAATATTTTACATTTGCGACAAGATATAGCAATACCAAAAAAAAAAAAATGATACAGAAAGTGAACCAATGGCCAACATTAGAATTATTACATAAATGGCTATGAATAGTAGCCGACATCAACATACATACTATTAATGTCTTTAAAGTAATAAAGAAAGTTTTTAGACATAAAAAAAAAAAAAAATTATTCATGAAAATCGTTTTGTATGTATGTATGTAGTTAGTGGCATGTTCAGTTTCGTTTCGAGATTGCTGGTTTTTTGTTTGTTTTTCTGTTTAATGCTTTGGATGAATTTTTGTTGTGTATTTTGTGTGTAGTTCGTGTCATGTTTGTTTTGAGTGTTGAGTTTGC